GAAACAGGCCACTCAAGCTGGATCATGGTTGGGTTGTCCATGTCCCAAAGGCAAACTGTGATAGAAAGGGCCATGCGGGGAGAGAAAGGGACAGCTGCAGTGTAGCCAATTACACTGTGCCAACTGCTCAGGGGGCAGACACAAAAATCCAGAGATTGGCTTAAAAATCATGAGATTTCTTCTTTTAAAAAGTTAAGTCCATTTTCCTTCTGACCCTGTAAGTGTTAATTTTTTAGGCTCTACTCTGTAACTATGAGGAACAGATGCTTAGCACCTTTTCAAGTGCAAGCTGATCATCTCACCAAACCCCAAGACTTTCAGAAGAGGTGCTTTGAAAGAACCCTGGCTATTGTGAGACTCCTGGTATAATCACATGTCAGCACATCTGTACTAGGCAGGGGGCAGGCCAAATGCAGGGAAGGTTTGCCAGGTGAGTGCAGGGACAAGAACTGTCTTCTTAATTTTAGAAAATCAAATAAATAAAGTGAAAATTATTTTGACTGCTTCTTTCCTTGCCATCAGCACATGTCTCTCCCACCAAGTATTTATTAAGTGCAGCAGGAAAAGAAGCTGTTCCACAGTTCACAGCAGCATGATATGACAATATGACAATCCAGACAGGGACTCAGGGTGAAGATACAGGCAAGACTGAAAAAAAGGCAACAAGAAATTACCCAAGCTGGGTTCAACAGGTTGCTCCCCCTGTGACAAGGGGCTGTTACAGGGAGCAAGGGCTCCTGTTACATTAAGGAAAAGGGCCAGCAGCGCAGGGCCTGTTGCCATATACAAGCAGCAGAGCTCCAGGAAAATAAGCAGCAAGGGGGAGCTGGAAAGAGCCCCTGCAGGGCTACTAGTCACTACAGGAGAGCTAGCTGGACAGCATGATTAGAGCCCTGGGCAAGTAAGAGGGGATCCAGGGCAGCCCAGTTAAGCAAGTGGCAGCAAATGAAGACAGACTGCTCTGGGAGCACCTGAGACTGATCATCAGGAAGACACCTGGCTAGAAGGAGGTGGAGCCGATGGGTACAAATCCTGGTGTTCAGGCCAACAAGAGTAGAAAGGCCTGGATTGGATAGGAGTTTTGTCTGGTGCGTTATGGGGAGAAGAAGCTGCAGACTGAAAAAGGTACCCTAAAGACTGAGAGGGGCCCAGTGTAGTGGTACAACTTTGGCAGCAATTAAAGCACCCAGACTGGAGATCTGAACCTTTTTAGTTGACAGCAATTTGTTATTGTTTGTATTTAGTTTAACTAGAGGCCTGGGTTGTGGTTATGGGGGTGATTTGGAGGCCACACAGCAGGGTGCCTGACACATTTTGTCTTGAGACCTGCACTGGACAGGGATATGATGGGCTGAGATTCAAGTGCTGAGGTTGGAGATAGTGGTCAAGGCTGAGGGTCTCAGCTAGAGGAAAAGGGCCAAAGCTGGGAAGGCTGAAGCCTGAACAAGGGATTAAGGCCTGAGGGCCTGAGTTTATTAGTTGGACTGAGAGGTCCTGAGTGACACTTATGGGGGAGGCCAGAGGCCATAATTAAGGCCTATGAGCTGCTGTCTGGGCCACTGAGGTGCAGAACCCCCAGCAGCTGAACTAGCTAAAGAGAGAAGGAAAGAGAGGCAGGGATGGCTGAACGAGCTGAACTTGGAACTGTGCTAAAGTCCAGAGGCACCAGATTCATGTCTCCCACCCAAAGGATTCAGAGGCAACCTCCTGTGACATTCAGATTCCATCAAAGTGTGGCACGTGAGTGAAAGGGAGAAGAAGCCTTAAGGTTGTGGAGGATGCAGAGTCAACCCACTTCAAGGGGGTGTGCTTGAGCCCCTTTCTGGGTTAGGCCTGTTACAGGAAAGAGCCCAGCTTTTCAGTGACTGCAGATGAATGCTCAGTGTGCTGGGTGACACCAGCTCTTTCCAAATGAATTGTAAAAATCTCAGCATACCAGGAGCAGTAGCATTGCTAGTTCTCATAGTGCTACTATATCTCAAGATGCTTAGTCTCTGTTTTTAAAGACCAAGCACCTAGAGTCATGGGATTAAATTAAAATCTTAGTTTGATATTAAGTGTTTAGCCTTTGTATTTGAAGAGAAACACTGGACACTGCCCAAGTATACAAGCTTAGGAAACCAGAAGGCAAAGAAAGGACTCTAGTATATTAATGCTCCTTGGCCCAAGTGGTTAGTCAGTGCATGTGTCCTTGCTGGACCACAAATCAGTGGGCTGCTTGGAGTGGTGCCTCTGCCCTCTGTCATACTCATACTCCCCCTCCTTCTCTTGCTGTCTGGATTTCTTTCAGCTGTGGTCACTTTCCGTCTCTGAGACAGACATCCACAGCTATACCCAAACTATACCCTGGTCCCCACATTTACAAACAGTGCCCAAGGAGGTCACGAGGCCTTGCCTTGCTGTAATAGCTTATGCCTTGTGCAGTGATTTTCGTGTTGACATTACACACAAGGCATTTCATTGCTCCTAGCTAGCTGAATGAAGGCTGCTGACATGTGCCTCAGGTTTCTCCAGTTCTGCAGTGGAAGGCCACCACCAAAACCTTTCCCCTTGCTAGGGAAGCATTTTGAATCGCCTAGTTTTTGAAAGTCTGAATCATAATTTCAGAAAGGTTAACGTACCAGGCTGCAATTGCATTCCTCCCCGCCCCCCTGTCTGCAGGGGTTCTTTTGCAGTTGTTAGAAATCTAGATATTAGGTTGGTGCCCCAACCACAGCTCCCTAAGAGATAAAAATGAAGGATCAGAGCACCTCCATATGGCTGCTTGAGACAGGCTAGTAGTGCCACCTTGGCCACTTGATGTATAAAACCTAGCTTGGTTCTGCTGCTGGTAGTCTGGGCAGGTATAAAAAGGTACTGGTCCCACAGGGTGGCCACAATGCCCCCTCGTGGCTGCTCATCACTTTCCTGGTCTGCCCTACTTGATCACTCTCCCCCTTTGCTTGCCCACCAGCCATACCTTGGTGCTATAGTCCTTTAAAGAGAGGGAGGCTGCCCCAGGGCTTCCCAAGCCTGGTCTCACTCTCTGGCTCCCAGAACTAATCATTTTGGGGCACTTGGTCCTAACCCAACACCAGGCCACGTCAAGTCTTTACATTATCAACCACCAAAGCAAGCCCACTAGGCAACTACTGCAAAACCTGCAGGTTAGGGCACTCAAGGGAATCCATTCCTACCCCAGCCCTGGAACAGTATCCTCCTGGGAGTGCAAGGAAGCCTAGGGCATCTAATGGGACACTTATGTGTCTATACACCAATGCCAGGAGATTGGGGAACAAACAGGAGGAGCTGGTCCTCCTGCTAAACAAGAATGACTATGATCTCATAGCAATAACAGAGACCTGGTGGGACTCCACCTATGACTGGGCCACAGGTATAGATGGCTATACCCTGTACAGGAGAGATGGTGTGGGAAAAAGGGGTGGGGGTGTAGCTCTCTCTGTCAAGGAAAGCTACACATCCCTGCAAGCTTACATTGGCACCCATGGAAGATGACTGGAGACCCTCTGGGTTAAAATATGTGGAGAACATGGCACAGGGGACACAATGGTAGGAGTCAACTACAAACCTCCTAATTGGGAATGAGTTTGACCAGGAATTCACCAGGGAACTGGCTGAGGCTGCACGCTGTCAGTGAATGGTTGTCTGGGCAGTTGAAGTCTCCCATGACATCTCATGGGAACACCACTTGGCCAAATCTGAAAGGTCACAAAGCTTCCTCACATGCGTGGATGAGCTCTATCTGACTCAAGAAGTCTATGCACCAACAGGAGGTAAAGCGCTGCTGGACCTGGTACTGGTGAAAGGGGATAATCTAGTCAGTGACATAAGAATCAAAGGAAAGCTGGGAGACAGTAGCTACAAGCTGATCACTTTTACTATCCATTGCAAACCTGGCAAGTCACTCAGCAATGCAGAAGTCCTTGACTTTAGGAAAGCTGACTGTGATAAACTCGACAGAACAGGAGTTCAAGATGATTGGTTGCTCCTTAGGGGAGCAATCCTGAAAGCACAAGGGATGTCCAACCCATCTCAGAGGAAAGGTTGCAAAAGGGTACAGCAACCCCCTTGGCTCAGCAAGGAACTCATGGACCTCCTACATCTAAAAAGAGAGGCTTATAAAGGCTGGAAGACAGGAATCACCACAAAGGAGAAGTATTCTGCACTGGTCCATACCTGTAGGGAGTGAACCAGGAAAGCCAAGGCTACAACCGAACTCCAACTGGCTACATGTATCAAGGAAAATAAAAGTCCTTTTTTTAGATATGTGGGGAGTCAGAAGAAAATCATGGGTAACATTGGACCCCTGCTAAACCAAATGGGACAACTGACACCCAGGAAAAAGCCAGCCTACTTAATGGGTACTGTGCGTTGGTTTTTCACCAGCCCAAATGGACCGCCCTGCCTAACATGATGTGGGACATCCAGGCTGAGGGTGAATTTATACTTAACATCAGTGTAGACCTTGTAAAGGAACACCTTGAGGGTCTAGACAGCTTCAAGTCAGCTGGTCCTGACAGTTTGCACCCCTCTGTTCTTAAGGAGCTGGCAGGAATCGCAGCCCAGCCACTAGCAAGCATATTTAAGAACTCGTGGCGCACAGGTGAAGTACCCAAAGATTGGAAGAAGGCCAATGTGGTGCCTATCTTCAAGAAAGGGAGGAAAATAGATCCAGGGAACAACAGGCCAATCAGCTTGACCTCAATCCCTGGAAAGATTTTAGAAAAAATTATCAGAGTCCATTCTTGACAAACTGGCTGATGTCAACATCCTGAAGGACAGCCACCATGGGTTTGTTGTGGATAGGTCTTGCCTGACCAATCTCATTTCCTTCTATGACCAGATGACATATCACCTGGACAGGGGGTAAGAGATTGACGTCATATATCTGGACTTCTAAAAAGCCTTTGATCTGGTGTCCCATGATCACCTCATGGAAAAATCGGCCAACTGCAGACTCAGCTACATCACAGCACAATGGCTGGGGAATTAGCTCTGAGGTCAGACCCAGAGAGTAGTAGTTGATGGAACTGAATCATCATGGCGCTCTGTTACCAGTGGTGTCCCCCAAGGCTCCATCCTTGGATCTGTTCTCTTTATCATCTTTATTAACGATGTGGACATTGGTGTCAGAAGCTGACTGGCCAAGTTCACTGATGACACCAAACTTTGGGGTAGGGCATCCACACCCGAGGATAGGCTAGTGATCCAGGCTGACCTTGACAGGCTTAGAAAGTGGGTGGATAAATCCCTGATGACATTCAATATGGATAAACATAAGGTACTCCACCTGGGGGGGAACCCACATCAAGTTATAGGCTCAGCACTACTACATTTGCTAGCACCACAGCCAAAAGGGACTTGGGTCATGATTGACCACAAGATGAACATGAGCCACCAATGCAATGTTGCAGCTGGTAAAGCAAACAAAACTCTGGCTTGCATCCTGTCCCAGGGGAGCTGGGGTTGCAGGAGGGCCCCAGCCCAAAGGAAAGCCTTACTTACCTTCCTCAGAGCCCAAAGAGCAGGAGGAAACACGCAGGGCAAAACCACCATCACGGGTGGTCAGCCGCGCTTATATTCAGCTGAGGCCGGGCAGCGTGGGCGGGAGACGCCGTCCGGCGGAAATAAAAAGCTGCCCCGAGGATACGGCGGGACTGCAGATGAGCGGAGACTCGTGGAGGGAGCCCTCACCCAGAGGGGCTCAGCTGCTGCTGCGTTGGGCAGAGTGGGAAGTTGGGGGCGGAGCCGGGAGAGGCTCAGTCAGCGGAGCCGAAAGAGTCGGCAGCGACGCCGACAGCAGAGGCGGCAGTAATGCCAACGGAGGAGCCGACAGTGAGGCTGACAACAGAGTCAGCAGTGACGCCGGCAACAGAGGCGGCAGTAAAGCCGGAAACGACGCTGGCGGAGGAGCAAGGCGGGGGCGCTGGCG